GGTGGGGGGCGGGGGGTGTGTCTTGCACCAAAACCCAAAAGTTAAAGTTTTTATATGAAAAACTTAAGACAAAAAACTTTTGGCACACCTGGACAAGTTCTTTGCACAGTTGAAAATACATGTATCAGCAATGTAAATGTGAAAAGCATTTGTCTCATCACAGCTCTTCTCACTTAAGAACTTTAAAGTTGTTCCTGTGTAGGGCTGGGGGACCAGTTTTTGCTTTTTTTGTCTACAGTAAAATGAAGCTGCTAGCCTACAGCAAAGTGGAAACTTTTCAAGCACCACCTCGGTGCTTGAGCTACTTGCCAAGATGCACAGAAGTCTTACTAAACTCTTACTTTCTGACCAAGCCTAGAAGTTAACACACAGCAACCTACTGTTTTACCTGTGACCTCTCAAGCCAATTCAAAACAAGCAGCTCAGTATCAGGTGGCTCAGCAAACCCTGATCTTGTAAGTGATACCAGAGCCACACTTCCAGCAGCTGACAGCTGAACTTAGCCCCAAGAACCAGGAAGAAATTAAGGTGTATCTGTCCTGTTCTGCTTTGCTCCCCAAACCAAGCAGAAGCTCTCAGGAGGCTTCAGGGGGGTCTAATAAAACTACAGTAGTTACAATTTTACACGCTACAGCTCTCTAGTGCTGAATGCCAGAAGATTTCAAAGGAAGATATCCAGAAAGTTACCTCTTTGGAGAGCTGCATATACATGCAGAAGGAGCTACTGGCTATTCTAGGAAGCACTGTCCTTTCCACCCATAAGTGCCACCAAGACAGCATTTATTAAAAGGCTAACATTCTGGAGAGCTTCTAAGCTGAAGAAAACAATTTTGGTATGGAACTGTATGATAGGTGTCCAATTAGTTTACTTCAATGCATATTTTATTTACGTATCTTTTCCTGTCCCATCTTACCCCAGACTTTACAGACAGCTTCAATAATGAGTATTACCAATTCCTCAGCTTCTAGTATCACTTTGCTGCAACATCAGCAGAGTTGCTTGATGCATAATCATTCAACTAATTTAGAGGCATATTTAAATACTTATTTTTAACAACTGACAGATTACAATGTAATGCATTGCTTGGATTTCCATACTACAGTAATTTTTCCATTAACCGCAGATGTTGAGAAACATATTCATTTAAAAAAAAATAAAGCCTTAACAGCTCAGAGAATCAGCACATCTTCAACTTAGATTTCTGGGAAAAAAATGAGGTGTAGGAAAACCAGGACCTACTTTTCAACATCAGCTGACATCACCAAATAATTTATACAAATGAAATTAGCCAAAGCTAACACATAAAGATGATCAAGGAATAACAACAACAACAACAAAAAAAATCCCTTCTGTAACAAGAACAGCTTTCTGCATAACTAAATTTTCAGAGGAAAATGTTACACTTACAAAAGTGAGAAACCACCACATTACCAATTGCTACAATAGCTTTTTCAAAGTAATAAACAGGGACAGTCAAGAATAGTGAGGAAGCAAACAGAACCTGGGTACCAATACAGCTTGATAAAAAAAAGAAAAAAAAGGAAAATATTCATTTGGCAATTTCTTCAGTGCGGACATTAATACATTAACAGAAAGCCTGCTGTGAATTACTTTTCACTTTTTAATCACATGGTACAAGCTCCAGATGGGCTAGATGCCAAGTCATTTAAAAGCGTTCAAGTAATATGAATACACACCAGCATTTCATTTAACCTCACTCAGCTCCACTAAATGAAGTAACAGTGCTCTCAATCAGGCTTAATTGTTTTAAGAAATATGCAAAACATCTCTAGCTCTGCTTCAGTACAGCAACAAGCCACTTTCACTGTAAGCTATTTTTAGAAGTCATTATTTTGGAAAATACATCTATAAGAGCATACTTACAGATTGTATATCTTGTAATGGTTTTTATGCTTTGAATCCAAAAACCTTAAATAGAAAAATAAAAGACACATATTAATAAACACTGCAATAATGGTGACCTTAATTTGCAGCATCATTAAAGCACCATTCAGCATGTGCAGTTCTGCATTCCAAGTCCCAGCTGGCCCTGCAGCGCCTCAAAGTCAAGGAGGCAGCGTGTTGCAAACCTCACTCATACAAATAACCCAGTAGTATGAATAGGACTACTTATGCAACTGAGGAGACCAAGATCTGACCTGCAACTGAAATATTTATTGTATGGACCAATCCGCCCTGATTTCTAAGATACCTGCACATCAATATATGAAGCTGAGGAAGGGTTGTTTCTTTTTAGAGCAGAAAGCATCGATTACACAAGGTATCTGTACACACTTACTTCCAATTTAATCACCTGTGCAAAATACTCTGCCATGGTAGCATTTCCAGTGAAAAAAAGCAGTTAAAACTTGCGTATTCCAGTTAGAACAGCCAGAATCATTTATTTTAATACCAGGTTTTTAAAATGGCCATTATTTGCCATTGAAGTCCGAGGACACTGCCCGATGATATTCTGGGTTCACAAAGGAGGAGGAAGACCACTATACTTTTTCATGCTCACACTCATTTCATTTTCATGCTCACTTTGTAACAAGAACTTCCCATACAAGCCTCGGAGAGCCAAACTGCAAACATGATTCATCAAAATTGCCGTGATTATATATGATGTGTCACCTGGCAATGTTCAAGAAGAAATAACATACAAATGTTTACACTTAACATCATCAACAGTGTGTATCTGCACATCAGCCAGAAGGAATTTAATTAGCCATGACAGAACATGCTGTTCAAATTGAAAAGAAACACTAGCTGCTAAAATCCTGGAAAGCTCAAGCAAAAACAAGCTCTGGTTATCAGTCACAATATTCCAGAAGAACCTAGAAGAACTCTGTGGTTAAACCAGTGTGTTAAAATAAGAACAGATGTGAACACTCCTCGTGCAGCATTGAGTATGAGATTCCAATTTCATCGGCAAAAATATTTCATGACTCCCACTGGCTCCCCTGTTGGCAGACTTGGAGAGATTGAGGAAGATGGTGGATATGGCCGTTTGCTTCAGGAGACGTCCCAGCTTGTTTAAAACACACTGGAGAGCAAGGAGAGCTGACTCCGCTTCTGCCAATAATACCCACAAAGCTGAGTATAAGCTTTCACGCAAGTATTTTTCTAAGGACAAAATTCCATCCAAAACCTCTCAAAGCATCAGCCACAGGAGACAGCCAGCAGTCCAGGTCATACTTCTCATACAGTATTAGCATTAAATTTGTCAGCATACCAGCTATTCAGAAAAAGTGCACTGGTGTATCCTGGCTCAATACCAATTGCTCCGGAGCTCAAAACACATTGAATTGCTGCCTAAAAAGCTCCTGGAAAAAAAATTCCACAATTAAAAGACGACAGGAGCAAATAAGGACCTGCTGACTGCAACATGCAGAATGCTGCATGATCATATTTTGTGCATTATTCTTGTTTAAAAATAGGGGGCAACAAACATAACACTACTTTAGCATCAAGTTCCCTACAGCCACTTAATTTATCTCTCTTCGTATCTTAATTTGGTTGATGACACTGTTTAGGTGATCACTACTCCTTTTGATCAGAGTGTTTATGGGCAACTTAATAATTCTATAGTCATTCCCTTCCAAAAGTCTAATTTACACATATCTACATACTTAACCAATAAAATATATTGTCCTTCATAGAGAAGCAACTGAAATCAATGCTGTCAGTGGAAGAGGGCCTTCAAAGACTACTGCCTATTATTATTTATTTGGATTATTCCCATGTCATTTATTCCAAGTCCAGCCTTTGCCCCTATCCTACAATTTCCAAAGGTGGAGTCCATCAGTCCATCAGGGACCGCGTATTTCAAATAGCGGATGCAATGCCCACATCAACTTCAAGAAAACGTGGCTCTGGCTGCTGGTAAAGAAAGATGGCTAGATAGTCTGAGTTTGTTGGACAGCCCTTAACTGTCCCAAAAGGACAGCAAAAGCTTTTTCTTGTGTGCAAGCTGTGTGCAATGACACGATTAGAACACACAACTTCACGCCTCTTGACAATTCTAGCAGACGTACACACTCTGCAAGAGTATTTACAGATTGCTATGCTGAACCTCGCTGATATGACCAGCTCTGGAAGAGTGACTTCTCCTCACTACCGCGTGACAGAACAAGGTTGCTTCTGCAACCCTGGTCAAATCCAGCCTCTGACATTTTCAGTACTATTCGTGGATAGCGAGCTTCATCATGATGGTTAAATATGCAAAAACAACCCCCCCTCGAACTCATCTGAAGCTAACTGCAGCTGTGCAGGGAAGTCACTGCCTCCAGATGACTGGTTCTCAGTTGAGGGTTACAATTCCTCCCAGTGTGAGAACCGAGGAGCTGCCTCAACTCATTTCTGTACGAACCTGGATGCAAACAATTACCAGTGAAATTCAAGCAGCGCTCATTCTGCCTGCTAGCGATGATGAGAAAGTTTCTGTGGCATCTCAAACCTAGGAGCAGCACCTTCTCGTTCAGATACACCTACTCCTAACTTCACTGCATAACCATGCACCTTAATGCATTATCCCCCCCATCCCCAAATATCAAGTCTCTTGGAGAGCTACAGAACTTATGACCTCCAATGGCCAAGATCTCAAAAGCATCACACATAACTTAAATCAGCATCAGGATCCTAAAAACACTAACATTTGGCAGCTTCTGCCAAGTATTTAGTTTTTAATGCAACCTCTTGCACTACATTCTCCAGGTAGGGTGTTGACTAAACAAATTACAACGATGCTCCTAAAACACTAAGTACACCATCGACTGTTGTATCCAGCAGTTCAGAGTAAATAACTTTATCTGATGTTGAAAATGACAACCTATAGGGGTTGTTTTGGGTTTGTTTTTTTTTTAAAAAAAAAAAAACACCAAACCAAAATATGCTATAAAGCATCACCCACAATAATAAATTTTAGCTGATTTTTCCTCCTTGTCCACAATTATTGAATGCAGCCAGATGTAAAAGCCTTTACCTAAAGTCACCTATATTTACTACTTTAAATCAAAATTAACTTATCAAGCACTTCATTTATCGATTGAAGAAAGGATACGGGCAAACAAATTCTGAAATGCCATCAGCTATCTGAGGAAACTCTCAACACAGTGAACAGAGGCATGGACTGACAGCTTTCTAAAAGCAAAGAACCTCCTTTTACTCCAACACAATTTACTGATGTCAATTTTTCACACTAAAAAGCAGATTACATGCATTTGAGATCAACCCAGAACAGCAGCCTGGCCTAAAATTCTTGAAAATATCATTTTCATTGTTTCCAACATTTTTCAGGAAAGCTAATAAGGCAAGATCTATGACACGCAAAAATCTTGCCATTTCTACGAGTCAGAACACACATCTTTTTCTTAGCAGAACACAAATGAGTGCAGAAAAGGATACTTAAGATTTACAAGAATAAGTTAAGGAAAAAAAAAAAAATAAAGCCTTACCTTACTACATCGTCAATGTTGTTCCGGTATACTCCTTCAAGCCTCTCCGCAGGAAAACCCATAGCAATTATGTTTGGATAAATATCTGAATATACAAGTTATGGAAACATGTGGAAAGCATATGAAATTTCTACAATAGCATTAAATGGGCATTAATCAAATGTTTAACTGTATCAAAGTCAGGGCAACAATTCTGACCAACTCCCATATGCAAACAATTCAGCTTTATATATTCAGGCTTATATAGGGATCTTCGTAGGGGGGGGGGGGGGGGAATCAGGAGGGAAACTTTTGAAAACATGGTACTTTGACCACAGCCACTGTTACAGAGACCTCTTTACATCTCAGATAACTTACTAGATGTCTATGCTGTTGGGCAGCTGATGGTTAACATCCATCCATAGGAAGGCAATCCACTAGAAAAGCAGAGTCAAGTAATCCAATTCAATCGTACATCATCTCACTAGAATCACATAGATGCTACATACTGGTCTTTTGCTACAGTTTGAGTGGTGTATTAAATCCAATGGCAAACTACTAAAATAGTCTTGTGTGACTACATTGCAAGATGTTCCAAAGTAAAACCCACGTTCAAGTCCCCAGTGATTCCAAAATAGGTATACCACGCAAAACAGCACAACAAACAAAAAAGTGCATTTCAGGCATGCAAGCCCTGGCAAGGGTACATAAACACTCATGTTTTTATCACTTTCCATGATTTCTACATAACAGACCACTATAGCAGCTGCTAAGGTAGCTCTGAATGCCTAAACATAAGATACTGTAATAGATGGGAATGTGCAGATCTGAAAAGGATTATATATCCTGTTTATTAAAAAACAACTTTCCCACTTCTGGAAAAATATTCTAGTTTCTTATTCTGAACTACCTGTAATCCACTTGCCAAAAGCAACCCAAGACAAAGAACTTAGGAAGAGTACCTCTTAGCAAAACCAAATTAGTACTAAGGAAAAAGGCCAAATAAGAAAATTGTAAGTTTACATCCAGAGCTGACATAGTAAAGAATTCACAACAAACTGCTAGAAAATTACTGGTATATATTTTCCTGGTGGTGTAATGATATATGGTTTTGTTTTTTTTTTTTTTAAATAGAACTCAAGAAAGAAAGTACTCCCAAGTTTTAAACATTATTAGAAATGATAATGTAGTGAAGAAGCTTCACTGAAAAGCAAAACAGAAATGAAACTAGCAGCTCAAAAACAGACCATACCCTACCGCATTAACATACTCCTCCTCAAACTAATTTTAGATGGAGTAAGAACAAAGCATGATATGTTTGAAGTTGGCCCTGCTTTAAACAAGGGGGCTGAAACAGGTGATTTCCAGAGGTCCCTTTCAACTTAAATTACCCCACAATTGTAAGAACTGTTTTTATTTTTATGGTTAAAATACAACAAAGCTCCAAAGAGTAATCATCAGAATGGAAGACATTGCAGCAGCTTCCAAGATATTAATATTCCAGTTACTTGTACACAAAGAAAAGCCTGAAGTAGGCTACAAACTACTTTACTCCATCCTTGCAGAATTTCCACAAGTGTAAATACTCACAGGGAAGCGGCATGGACCAAGGTCTGCATTTACACAGTTAACTAGAAGACTTAAGAAAAACATTAAGAACTGAATACACGGAAATAATGTTTTCGACTCTCGAAAAAAGAATTAGCACTTACTATGTTGTAATCCAAGTATTAATAGACATTGGTCCGCTTGGACTATTCAAATGATGACTTATGCAGACAATGAGAAAAATATGAAAGCTTTTGAGAAATCCAAATAAGTATCTGTAACTGCCTTAAATACAGACACTGAAAGGGGTTCACATCTGGTTTCCAATTTATTCTGTACTTGTCCATACCCTAAAAAAAACCCATTATCTTGAAAAAAAAAAAATAAGTTGCTTAACTTTGAGAGCTTGTGATAACTTCAGATACTATCAAATCGCATAGATCTTAAACTTTGAACTTCACTCTGAATGTATTTTACTCCGCAAGCAGTCCACACCTCTGTTAAATTAACAAAAGGCACTATATAATTAGCAATGTATTTACTATTTTATCAGTTACTACTTACCATAAGCACAAGAAACTGGTTATAAATCATGTGCACCTGCTCTATGCCTATTAACAGTGAATTACCTGACTTTCAGCTAGCACACCACATCACTCCCCTCCTCATTCCCGATTTCAACGTGATTCCTACCTACTGCCAGTTCTGGCATTTATACTCAAAAACACCTCCTTTTCTGTCCTGCTCTGAGCAGCAGGGCTATATAAATTACCATAGCAAAATAATCCAGTATATTAGCCTGCTTTCCACAGCACTTCTCTGTCAAAGACAAGCATTCATGCTAGCAACAGGGGTAAAATAAATTCATTTTGACACACCACATCAAAACAAAACTCAGTTTCAACTATAGTATCACCCATGAGACAGATGCCTAAACTTCACCAAATTACCATGTAACTTGCTTGCATTTCTATTTGCAATCGTGAGCTTTACTACACATTTTTTTTCACACATTTCAGCCTGCAGTTTACGTTCAGATGCTTGTCTTCTGCTGTTGGCTTTTCCTCTCCGAGAGGCTAAGAAACAAGACACTTTCCAGGATTCCCAGCTGGTTCAAGATGGAAGCGAGAGCAGACAGACACCCCAAGCGAAGGGAACAGAACATCTTAACAGCAGCGTTTCCAGTTTGTAGGCTCACAGACTTGTCCAAACACCAAAGCCTCAAAACACGCAGGCAGAGATAAAAAGTTCCAAAATAACTGGGGCGGTCTCACGCTTTCGGAAAGCACGATCCCCTTTTGGCTCCCGCATCTCATGTGACCCCTCTCCCCCTCCCTCGCTTCTCAAGGGCGATGCACGAGCAGTACATGCACAGCTCGCATGCATTTCTTCTTTTAAATAGGAGCAAGCCAGCAGAATTGAATGCTTAAGCTTAACCGTGCATTATCACAGGTGCATTTTTAAACCCAGAGCTGGTATTGCAAAAGGTGTTCCACAATATGCCAGTAAGTAAAGAACATGGAAAAAAGACTTCAAAGGGGGGCAGGGAGAGTACAAATCAATTTACTGATGCCGATTCAGTAAAAGTGTATGCTCTGGGGCTTTGCAACCTGCGACAGCATAAAACCTGAAGTGTTGCTGAAAAACAAATATCCAGCAGTGAGCCGGGGAGGGGGGGCTGTTTATAGAAAAACATGATTGTTTTTTTTTAAACAGGCAAACCAATTTCTCCACCACCTATAATATAAGCGTCCTGAAGTACCTTACTTATTATCTCAAAGTATTAGACTGGAATGCGATTCACACGCCACTGCTGACTCACTCTTCTGTCTGCAACAGATCCGGCGTTAAAGGACACCGGCCACAGCGAGCAAATGACACCCTTCCACGGCACACATGCGAGGCTGCAGGCTTCACATGCACCGAAGGAAAGCAAGTGACAACTATGACAAATGCATTCGTATTGCCGGTGAAATCATTTTATGTCTTTTTAATATATATTTCTGACAAGCACGCTAAAGCAGCATGTTGCTTTGAAACTCTCTTTTGGTTCAAGTGACTGAAGAATGCCTTTTGCTTTAAGGAGCAATGTAAGATGGAAGAACAGAGTGGAAGTGCTGTTGCTGTTTGCACAGATGATCTAAATCTCTGAGCAGAAATAGCAGTTTCGTCACGTAATCAAAAGAGCTGCCATAAAACCCAAGCTCTTCCACCCTTTCCTCTCCTGTGAAAAGATGCCCCAAGATCTGCAGCAAGTGGGGGGGGACGGCTGTTACTGCATGGGTACTAGCTTGCTTTTTTCCTGGTACTGAGGAATGAAACAGTCGTCCTCAGGGACAGCCTACGATCACTGCATGGAAGGGTACAGAGCCGAGCCAGTTTACAGGAGCAACCGTCCACTGACCATCATCTTCAGCAAGTTCTTCTATCACCAGCCACGCTCGGTGGTTCAAAGACACCGCTTTTCACACCTCACTTCATTTAACTTTGATTTCCAAAGCTGAAATTAAGATAATGGCTACCAAGACGAGATTTCTTACAAAGGAGCTTGGAAGCTGGGCTTACATTCAAAGCAAGACTTCTGAGTCATCATGAAATTGGTAATGACACTGATAATTTTAGAAATCTGGAAGAACTGATGATTTAAAACGTGCAACAAGTTCATTATCAATTCCAAGCTTTTTTATTTTTTTTTAAAGATGGGCAAATGAAAATGGAAAAATCCTCAGTCATTAATTGAGGCAGTTCTACAACACATGCAAAACAAAGTTAACCAAATGGTCCTAACTACCAAAATTTGAAATGGACTTTCTAAAAAACGTAAAATAAACCCTGCCACATTTTGCCAAAGTAGCTCTTTCCTAAGAAACACATTCCCAGAAATGGTTTCAACAGTTTTTAAAGCACTCATTCCTTTTCAATCTTGTAAACATGGAGGCTGGGATTTTAGTTAGCCTTCATAATAAAAAAAAAAAATACATGAGACAGACTCATGATACACAGCAGCAAAACACTAAAATGCCATCCTCAAGTTCATACTTCTTACTAACTACAAAACTTCAGCTTTCAAATGAACAAAGACAACTATGCTATACCCAAGGAACCCTAAAATGAGAGCACCCAATAATTTGCTAAGTTACCAAATGCCACAATGAAAAAGCGATGCTCAGTCAATATTGAAGACATACCAAAGCAAATAATCCATACGCCACTACAGAAATGCCTTTGCTCTAATGCTGTTCACAGATTTAGCAAAACACTGTTCTTAAAGCCTAAAATCATTCCCACATGCTAAAGATGATAGTCTTTCCAGTTGCTATGAGAAAAATCCTGTATCATTATGCAAATCAGCAGTTATAATCACTTTCAAAAATAGCTGTCTATATATTCACATTATGCCAAGATCAAATTAAAGAATATGCAGTATACACTTGAAATTTTACATACATATACATATAAAAGCAAATTACTCGTGTTGGTCCTATAACTGATTCTGCTCACAAATTCAGCCTTTTTCCTAATAATGGAAGGTGGCCAAAAAAGCATACCAAA